AAGTACCCTGGGTGAAATTCCTTTATTAACTGAATAAACTTGTTCCGAGGGCTGACTAGACATGCTAGGGACAAGGGGATGCTTTCGGCTGTATCCTTTCTGGCAGATGACCTCCACAGTGGTGGGGGTAATGAGAGCCATGGTAGAATTTAACCCAAAGTCCCCTAGAAGCACACAGGAGAGCAACATACTCACACCTGAAGGCTGTGTATGTGCAAGGGTTTGATCAGGATAGACTCTTCAGAAGAGGGGAGGTGTGGGCAGCAGGTACCTTGATTCCGCACAGCTTACAGCCCAGAGAGCTGAAGAACAGGAGAAGCCAGATTCCCATTCTCAGTCTGTTGATTTCCATACTACATTAGAAGTCTGAACAACTCCACAGCTGTGTTGCAGCCACTAACAATGCTGCCTCTGCTCTGTTGCCTCTAGATTCTTCTTATCTGTTAAATAAAGTGAGGGTGGAGACGTAATTTAGGGCAGGGGTAGATTGTGTCTCTGTGATAGGGCTAAGCACCTCCTGGGGGAGCCCTAGAAGCTAAATTCGACTGTTAGCTGTGAGGCAAAGGACACCGGGGCAGCTCCTATGGACTGTGTTAGAACTTTTCAAGGTGGCTATGCCCTGCCAGGGGCCTGAATCTCACACAGATGGACGTGGTGTTGGGACCAGACTGACTATCCCATCACAGAATAATATCTGCATTTCAGTAAGAGGAGCATAAGCAAAGTATGTTGTTGTGAGTTTAAAGAGGCCTGGCTTTGGAGTCAGAGAACCTGCATATGAGTCCCAAATCCAGCCTTTGCTTCAGTGCCCTGACCTCTTTCAGCTTGGCTCCTTATCTGTTGATAGGGGTTTGATACTTATGTCTCTGGGTCTTTGGGAAATCAATAATGTACATGCATGGCACACAGTAGGTCCTCAACACCCAGGCTCCAGGAATAGCCATTCACACTCTGCCATGTTAGGGGCACATCAGCATGGAGGCCAGCATGCCAGGACAGTGTAAGTCCAGTGTACCCTCCAGCCAGGATTCAGGCTTGGGCTGCTGGTGGCAGGACCAGGGCCATTTCCATCCTTTCTTTTATTGTCCACATGTCCAAAGCAGATGCTTCTGTTTATACACAGGTGTGCCATGCTAGGAGCTGAAATAACAGGCTGTAGTGAACAAAGCTAAGCCTCACAGTCCACTCTGTGGCAGGAAGGACCAGCTGTGAGGCAGGTCCTCAGCCCACATTACTTCATACTACTGAATCTGGGGCCACATTTCCAAACTCAATGTTCACACAACGATGAGTCTACAGGAATAGAGAAGTCAATGTTGTGTATTTTTATTATAATTTACATTTTTATTGTATATATTTGAGGTATAAAACATGTTATAAACACAGTGAAATAATTGCTATAGTCAGGCAAATGAACATGTCACCTTCCCCAGTTACCTTCCTGCACCCTACTCTTTCCATGTAAACTTTTCCCAAAAACCCTACTCTGAGGTGACATTCCAATTGGTTGGCCCATTGGGGGAATTTTGATGAATCCCCATCATATGCTATTTAGTAAAAATAAACCCACTAAGTGTGCCTTTTGATCCACGTGCTCCTTAGGTAAAGTAGAATTTGCTCTCCTTCACTTGAGAGCTGAAGGTAAGGAGGTATCAGTCAGAGGGGGATGGAGCAAGTACAGGCCAGACAGAAGGAAGTGGGGGTATGAGGTGGTGGACATGAGAGGGAGAGCAAGAGAGCACACACGCTAGAGAGAGAGTACAAGTGTCAGCCGACTGATGAACAGAGAGAGGTCTAGAATGTGAAATACTGAGGTCTGCTACAGAGGATGCATTTGGGAATAGCTGAGGCCTGATGTCTGCTACAGAGGATGCATTTGGGGATAGCTGAGGCCTGATGTCCCTAATCCTGGAGGCTGGACTTTATCCTAAGGACAGCAGACAGCCCTAGTAGAATTTGAAAAGGTTTGACATGACCAGATCAGAAGTTAAGAAAGGTGCTTCACACACTGGGACAGAGAATGTGGAAGGGGTCAAGACTGGCAGCAAGAGAATGAGCTATGAATTGTTGGTGGTCATCAAGGAGGGAGATGAGGGTGACTGGACTGGGGGACTTCCTGTGGTGATGGAGAAGAGTGAGTGTCAAGATCTCACTTAGAAAGACTTGGGAGGTTGAAGTGGCCAGGCTCGGTCACCGTGGGAGTGGTGAGAGAGAGGTAGCAATCAAGGATGGCTTTCAAGATCTCTGGCACAAGCTGCTGGTTAGAAGGTGGTGCCTGTCAGTGAGTCAGGCAGCACAGGAGGAGGGGCAGGCGTTCCGAGAGTGGAAGTTGGTGGGTTCACTTTGGGACATGCTGAGTAGTACATGCTGTGGGACTCAACGACATATGACTTGAATGACTTCGCAGAGCTGACCTAATCACTCTGTGCCTACTGTGCCTCATCTGTAAAATATTACTTTTTGAAAACTATAAACTGCTACTCAGGAGGCAACTTCTTCCAGGGTTAAAAAGGAATGTACTATTCATGTATCTGCTAGGAAAGACATTGTTGCATGTCACTTGACTCCTGAAATAGGCCACAGTAAAGAAATCTCTGCACATTTTCGTGTTCTGGGAAATTGCTGACCACAATGGACCAATATTCTCCCTGGGACTTAGATAAGGGTTGCTGGCTGTCCACTCTGTACCATCACTCCCAGATGGCAGACCCTACCATTCCTTGTTTTTAAAAGTCTCAGGAATGATTCATTTAAATGGGAAATCTGTCCTCCTGAAAGTAGCCAGGCATAGACAGAAACATTCCCTGTTCAGCTGGCTGAGACTTCTGCTGATTACAAAAAAACCCTGCCCCATAAATCTCCCCATTAAAACTGGTCTACTACT